CCCGCCCACCCAGCCAGGACCAGGACCAGGATGAGGACCAGGACCAGGACGGGACCGGGACCGGGGCCACACCCAGCAAGGGGGCCTGGCCCCGGAAGGTGGAGGGGCTGCACTGCATGGTCGGAGCCCGATCCCCGCAGGGCCCCATCCCAGGGCACCCTCCGTCCTGGGCCACCCCATCCTGGGCCAATCACCCTTCCAGGGTGCCCCCTACCCCCCCAAGAAATGCGCACGTGGGCTGGCCGGTTGGCCCAGTGAGTTAGAGCGTGTGCTGACACCACCAAGGTCCAGGATTCCACTGCTGTGCCCGCCAGCCACCCAGGAAAGAAAAAAAAGGAAGAGCAGGTGCACACTGAGCTGGCTTTCTGAACCCTTTATTGTGCTGGGGCGGGGTGTGCAGAGAAACGGGCGCTCCTTGGGGAGCGGTGCGGAGCAGAGCGGCCACCACCGAATCCCTCACTGCAAAACAAGGGGCAGGTGGGCGGCGGCCCCGGGTCCCCACGGTCCTCCCACAGCCCAGGGCCCCACCACTGCCTGCCCAGCCTCCATGCTGTGGCCACCATCCCCCTTCCTCGCCCCCTCCCTGTGCCCAAGACCGAGACTCCCCTGCAGTGCATGTCCGGGGGGCCGCCATCGGTCAGCAGGGCGCTGCCACCGCGTGATCTACTTACCTGGGAGAAGGCACCAGCACACTGGTCTGCGGGAGAGAGCCGGCCTGAGGAGCCACCCCATGTCCCCTTCCCTGGGGTGGAAGCCCCTGGCCCTCCCAACCTGTCATCACCTCCTGAGGGCACCAGTCTGGGCATCATCCTGTCCTTCACTGGCCCAGACAGGCTAGGGCTGCCCCCAAGTGCCTCTGTCCTGCCTCTGGGGTCAGTGAGGTGACCCTCACAGCCTGCCCCCCTGCCAGTCTGGGTCCGGGGTTTCCTGGCTCCTGCAGCCCTGAGCAGGGGTGGGGGCAACGCTCACCCGACTTGGGCAGCAGGGCGCCCTGGCTGGGGTTCAGGCCCACTTGGGGTGACAGCAACTGCATCTTCTGGGCACCTTCAGGAAACAGCTCTGGGGCTCGGGCTGAAGGGGCAGGGAGGGCCAGTGAGGGAAAGGGGCAGGGTGGAGGGGGGAAGAGGGGGTGGGGAGAGGTCCGGATTCCTTGGCTACAGACATGGGGTCCCCGGGGTCCCGAGGAGTCCCACCGGGAGACAGTGGCTCCACCCGCCGTGAGTCACACGTGCTGCAACACGCACATGGGCAACAGTCCAGACCAGGCCTCAGGTTATGGCTCCTGAGGAACAGGCCTGTGCCTGGTGACCAAGGGAGGAGTCAGGAACACCCACCATAGAGCTGCAGCCAGACGTTCCGCACGCCGCCCTTCTGAGTCTCCAGGTACATCAGGGCAAAGTGCTGGTAGTCGGTGAACGCCACGCGGATGTCGGTCTGGCCCATGGCTGAGGGAGTGAGAGCGGCTGACTCCAGGCCCAGGACGGCCCTGCACTCCCAACCGCAGGATGTGCCTGCCCAGGGTGCCAGTCTAGTAGCCCTCACCCCCACTGCCCTGCCTGCTGCCACCTCTGCCCTCCTGGTTGCCCTGCCCACTTTGCCCACCTCACCTGGGTTGCTGAACTGCCCCTCCACGGCACCCTTGGTGAAGGTCATGTCCATCTTCTGGCACCCGCCATCGGGCCTGGACAGGAGGAGCCCAGGCGCCCTGAGCAGCAGCCCCTGCCCCGCGCCCAGCCCCAGCCCTGCCTGGGATCCTGAGAACGCTGCCGGGGCAGGACGGCCAGGGTGTCCTGACTCACCCTCACCACATGCTCAGAGGACACGGTACTTCATGGTAATCTTACTGGGGAGGAAACCCCTGTGGGGGTGGGGCTGCTACCGTGTACTTGCTCAGAGGCACACAGCCGGGGGCACGGACTGTCCAATGTCCCCTGCACACACACAGACACGCACAGTGACACACTCTGGCCCACAGACACACAGTGACACACACACGCTGGCACACAGACACAGACACGCAGACACTGTTTCTCAACGCCTGGGCCTCCGGCGGAGGCTTTTGCCAGCACCTCTGTCCTCCGGAGCAGGCCAGCTGCCCTGCTGCTCGGGTGTCTGCAGCCCGGGGTCCCTTTCAAGCCTGTGGTCTGGTTCCTAATGTGTCAGGGACTCCTGGCTCTTGCTGCCTTCATTTGGCTTCACCCTGGCTCTTGTCTAAGGCCAAGTCTGACGTGAGGCTCGCAGGGTCACTTACGTGGGGTACCCAAATTTGAGGGCCAGGTCACCATCGGCCACAGGGGTCACTAAGACCACAGGCATCTTCATGTTGTCCTTGGAGTCCAGGAAGCCCTGGTCGTCGGACACTATGCCCACCACATACCAGGTGCCCTGGAACTGCAGGACGGACACAGGGAGGGCTGGGGGTTGGTCCCCGCCCCGGCCCGAGTCCACCACATCCTGCCCTGCACAGCTGCTCCCAGCCGACGCACCCCACCAACCCTGACCCAGTACTGGGGACAGGACAAGGTGCAGTCACAGCTGTCTCAGTTCCAGGCCCTGTGGAGTGGTGGTGGGCATGACCCAAAGGCTGGGATGGGGGCCTGCCACCCTCTCCAGACCACCCACTCCCAGTCGGATGCAGGTGGGTGGGGGTCTTTCCCCTGCCCCAGCTGAGCCTGGATCAAAGACGGTGTGATCAGGGCCTTGGGATGGAAATCCAAAGGGTGGGGGGTCATCCATGAGCAGGAGGGGACGGGTCTGGGCAGACCTGGCTGGCATCGAAGTTGGCCTGGATGGGGACCTGGGCCTGGCCTGGGGACACCCCGGGCAGGGCAAGGAGGGAGCTGATCAGCAGAGCCTGCAGCATCATGGGAGACGGCGGGCACAGGGACTCCTCCGGACACAGAGCAGGGCAGCAGAGCTAGGGTGGCCTCCCTGGTGTGGCCTTTATGCCCCTGACATGCCCTGGGGCGGCTGGCCAGCTGGCCTGGGACAGAGCCCATGGAGATAGGCTCCTGATCGGGTTGCACCCTGCAGCACCCTGGCCCAGATGCCTCCACCCAACCACGCCCATCGTCTGCATTTCCTTTAGGAAGGGGGCCGGATGTCCAGCCTCCAGGGGACAAGCAGTTCTGGCTGACCTCCAGGCTAGGGGGCTGCCTGACAACCAATGCACCCTGCCTCTCTGGCCTCCCGTGGCCGCTCTGGGATGTCAGCCACCAGCCCTCGGTTCAGATACAGCCCCCAGGAAGGCCACCCAGAAGCTCACCTTCGCACTGTGAACCAGGAGGGCTAGGGACAGGGCCCAAAAATGGCCACCCCAGCTGGGAAGCTGCTGGAGAGCAGGGATCCAGGAGCAGGGCTGGGTGGGAGGGTCTGGCCAGGCCCGATGTGGCTTTGGTGCCAGGGCTCTGGCAAGTGGGCAGGACTGTGTGCTCTGGAGGCCCAGGCCAGGGGCCAGGGACCGGGGGTGCTCAGGGAGCCAGGCGGATGTGGGGTGGCCTATGCCCAGCCCACTCTGCCAGTCTGTCCTGGTGGGGGGAGCATAGACACTCTGGCATCTTCCAAACAAATGTTCCTTTTTGTCCCCCAAACCCTTAAATCTGCCCGAGTGTGCTAATCCCACACCTTGAAAAACCCATTGGATCCAAAGCTTCCTTTGGGGCCCCCGGCCCTTCCTGCTGAGGTGGTGAAGGGCCTGGCCGAAGCTGCCAGTTTGCGGGGGGTGTGGCCGGGGGGGTGGGGGACTGTGGCAAGGTCACGGCTGGCCCGTGTGTGGTGGGTGGGGGACTAGTCCTTCCCCTCAGCTGTCCACTGGAGCAGATACTAGAGGGCTCTCCTCTGCCTGCCCTTTGGTGGCTTCATGCTGAGATTTTGCACAGAGGGGAGGTGGGGGGTGGCCCAGGTGGCTGAGCCAGGCCCAGGCTGCGACACTACAGGACAGACAGGCAGGAGCCAGACTACTGACTTGCTTCTGGAGTTTATTTCTCAGAGCGGGATAAAGGCCGAGGGGCAGAGGCACTGTGGGGGGAGCCAGGGCTGGGGTCTTGGAGAACAAAGCAGAACACAGGAGTCCTGAGGGTAGGGGTCACCTGGCCGAGAGAGCAGGACACACTGGTGGTGCAAGCATCCCTGTGACCCCTCCCTGCCCCCAGACTCTACTTTCAGCTCGGACCTCCCTCCTGGGGGGTGTGAGTCCCTCCATAGCCCAGTCCCCTAAGGTCACCTCTCAGCTCTATCCCCCTGTCCCCCGCTCCGCTCTTCCCCACCCTGCTGCCTGGGAGGACCTCCTGCCCTGCCTCTAGGCCTCCTGCTCCTGGCACCCAGAGACCCTCGCTGCAGGATGGTCCTGCTGGTGGACCTTGTCTGCCTGGAACTTGGCATTCCCACCCTTGCCCACCTCTGCCCACCACCCCCAGGAGCCTTAGGGAATTGCAGCTGGGACCAGGTTTTCTTTCTGACTCACAACTGGACACCTGGTCTGCACAGGGGGCTCCTGTGTCTCCCACCCCACCCTGCACTGCAGCCCCTGGGGAGGGCGGGGTCTGCAGGGCTGCCTGTAGGTGCAGGACTCCTGCTGGTGACGCGGCCTGCAGCCCAGCCTCCTCACCTACGCTTGCTCCTTCGTGCACTTATCTGCCAAGAAAGAAGCCCGGGGGGCCCTAGTCAGCCCCAGGCCTGAGCCAGTTCGCCCACCTGGGCTTGCATTCCACCCCCGATGCTGAGGAGCCTCCCCTGAAGCCCTGGAGAGCTGGTCTTGGCTGAGCCCCTCACCACACAGACTCCACTGCACCCCAGCACCTCCCTGCCAGCCCCTGCTCCTCAAAGAAGGGGCCTTTCTCTACCTCAGTGGAGAGCAGATGCCTACCCCAGGGAGGCTGTGCCCGAGCCCCAGCCCACTGGTGGCCACTCCCCCCCCCCCCCGGCCGGGGACCCCCATATCCTGGGGGCTGGCCCAGGGTGTGGCAGAGAGTGGGTGCTTGGCATCCATCCGGGGAGGGGGTCTTGGTGAAGGGGGCTGTAGGCAGAGGTTGTGAGGTTAGGACAGGCTGATCTCTGTTCCCCACTCCTGGCTGAGGGTAGGTCAGGAAGAGGCCAACCTCTCCCTCAGCCTCCCACACCCTACCCGGCAGAAGACTGTTTCCCTCTAATCTGACCTTAATCCCCTCGGCATCCGATTAGCGGCCCCCCTCACCAGTTTGGGGCAGGAAGACAATGGTGTCCTCTGTGAAGCCCTGGTCCTTGCAGAAGGTGACGAACTTCTCCCTTAACTCAGCCCTCGGGGTCTGGGTGCGGCCTGCAGTGGCACGGAGGGGAGCACGGCCTCAGTGGGGGAAGGTCTCTGCTCTGCCCCTGCCCTGCCCTGGGTCAGGCCAAGCTGCAGGGTCCCCGCGGGGGTCAGGGGCACGTACTGTAGAGGGTGGCCATGCGGAAGTCCTGGCCGGGGCCCTTGGCGCCCTCGCTGTATAGCAGGGCGTACTCCTGGTAGTCGGTCTCCACCACTGAGACGGAGTAGGTGCTGCCCCAGTCTGAGAACCCAAGAAACGACTCTGGATGGGGAACCCCGTCCCCCAAACCTCTGGCCCACCTCCACTCTGGGGAAGGGTGCCTTCTGCGGGCTGGCGTGTGGGTGGGAGGCGACCCCGGCCCTTGGCCACCCAGGATGCTTCCCCCGCCTGCTCCCTCCCCAGTTCTAGCAGCCAGCAGCTCCCTGCTTCCTGCCTGCATAGCCCATGAATGAGGGATCCCAAACCAGACATCCCGGGGGGCCAGGAATCATGCAGGCACAGACAATCAGGGGGTTCATGGTACAGTCACAAAACTTGTCCAGAACCAAGTAGGGGAAAGGTTTCCCAGTGGGGAGCCCTGCCTCAAGGTGGGGGTGAGGAAGCCCTGGGGTCTTGCAGTGGGAACTGTGAGGAGATATGTGAAGGGGACTTGGGGGGCTGCCTGTGTGTGTCCTACCTGGGCCGCAGAGATCTGGGGAAATTCTATCACGAGCAGGGGAGGGCCCTGGCAGAACATGGTGGGCTGCAGAGAGGGTCTGGCCTCCTACAGAAAGGGTCCCTCTGTTCCCCACAACCCTGCGAGGGTGAGATTCCCGCCTAGGCCTGGCCTTGGACTCGCAGAACCTGGTGGAGTGGCCGTCACCTCCCCCCCATATCGCTGGGACGCAGGGCTCCCTTGGAGTAACAGCCAGCAAGTGTCACTCTTAGGCTGGACCCAGGGGTCGGGGGCCCCACTCACGGGGACTCCTGTAGCTGTAGTGTCCGGGAGACCCCACGGGCTGCAGCAGCATGGTGCGTGTCTCACACTGGTTTTTCCTGTAGGCAGGTTACCCTCGGGGTCAGGGGTCAGGACCGAGGGTGTCCCCCGAGCGCGACAATGATGCGGGGGTCCTCTGGGTCTCAGCAGCCCGCCCCACCCCGCCATCCCACCTGAGGAAGGTGGAGGTGAGGTTGAGGCCGCCCGCGGTCGGGGCCACCACCGACTTGCACATGGACAGCATCGCCTTCTTCTCCCGGAACCAGCTGGCGTTGGAGGCGAGGCCCGCGGTGAACCAGCGCCCCAGGAACTGCGCGAACGCCCCGCCGGCTCGGTCAGGCCCCACGGACCCCCGGGCCGCCCGGGTGGGCACCCGCCCCGCCCTCG